ATTAATTAAGTAAATGTTGACCCAAAAAAATGTTGACCGAAAAAAAAGTAAAATTAATAAATAAAAAAATTGAAAGAGATAATAGAGAGTAAATACAGTTTGATTCAAGTGAACAGTGAAATTTCTTAGAAGCTGCGGACGTACGTAACAGTTTCGAGTTTTTTCAGGGAAACACGTGTTATCCACAAGCTTTAGAGATAAGGACCCGTATCATTATTCGTCGACCTCTTCTCTGTCAACGTGATCTATGGCAGTACAATGGCGTAACTGCGTATAGTCCGTGTTTAGGTTTAGTGTCTAACATACGTTTACATTACGAGAGAAAAGTCGGCGTATTGGTATATATCGACATGCATGCTGCCTACTTTATACATATGATAATATTAACAACATAATCTTTGATTCGTGATTAAGCAATGATCATTTGGAGAGTTTGAATCGTGTGAAATTCGAACTCGTCCCAAATTGTAACGGCTATAATAATTTGACTTCTAATTGTCATTGCATTTTGTATGGTGGGATCATATACTTTAATTAAAAGATTAAGATCCACGTATGACGTATCTAATTGAATAGAGTGAGAGCGAGCGTTATGTTTTAATTTGGGCTTTTAAAAACAAAGAAATTACGTAGAATTGGCGTAAAGTGGGAAACAGTAACCTTCATGATGAAGTTCATCGTATGGCGTAGAGAAATTTCAAAATACAAAGAAGAAAAAGGTTTTACTAATTTTAGTTAAAAAATAGATTTGGTAAATGGAAATCCGAATTCACATCTCGATCGATCTCAAGTCTCAACCACTATTAATGGATTTCTCGTGCTCGCAGTATCATCACATTTTTGTATACGATATATATATATATATATTCAGTCAAGAAAAAAAAAGAAAAAAAGCCAAGCTTCTTTTGAAATTATTGGCTAAATATGACATCATAAAAGAAAACGTAATCGAGATGACAAACTGACAAAGAGTCCTTGGAAAGTTGTACGATACGGTACTAATTTCGATTGGTAGATTATGGCGGAATAGTGTTTTGGTTAGTGTTTAACTAATTTATGGCTTACTTTTATCTGAACACATGGGTTGTGTTTTGTTTTGCGCTCTGTAGCTAATTTTTGTTTTGTTTTAGTTTATCCGATATTAGCTACACTTTTTGTTCCTAACCAAAATATATATATATATATATATATATATCAATCTTAAAAGTTTTTCGGCTAAAACAGCCAATATCTCTTAGTTTTCTGAAAATCATTAATAACTCAATTATGTTTTATAACCTTTTATTATAGTATCTGGCTAAGTGAAAACGCTTCAATTGCGTCATCAAATAATGTATGTTGGTTGATATCCCTTACGTATTTCTCAGATTTTGTTTTAGAAACACAAGTTGAGACTTCAAACCTCTCATCTCTAAAATTGTTAGAATAATTCTTTTTCGTTTTCTTTTTCTTTCTAAACTATTAAAGTGATACAGGACAAATAAACAAAGACTTTAGTAGTCAGTCAATATTTTGAAGATATTTCAACAACAAAAATAGTAATTTCAGCATAGAAGAGAAATGACATAAATTATAAATATATTGTTGTGCAGTCCTTATTAAAAAGTGGACCGACTCCATAGACCAATTACAAACGAACAAACAAAGACTACATATATAGTCAAGGATAAACAGAATCAGGAATTGACTTATATATAATTTATAGTACATGTCAAATGAGCCGTTATAAACAAAGGGAGATGAGATCGTGGCAACGTACGTACAAGAGATAAAATGTGCGGATGTGATACACAATGATTTTTTTCTTCTTTATATTAAATAGTTTAAATAAACACAACAGAATATATAATGACATGTGTTAAACTCAAAATTCCCGCCAAATGTCTTCTGCTTTATATATATAAAGATTTCACTAACATCGAACTTCAATATCATGATTATAAAATTTAGAATTGCTTAGATTATGTATAATTTAATTAATTAGTTAAATTATTTGTAAAAATATTTGTTTAATTTTCTTAAATTAGTTGTGAGGTGTCACACGAAATGGAGTATTATATCAAAAATAGTTAGCGTTTGTAGATATATTACCAAAAATGGTAATCTTAAATAGTACTATATTTTTAATTTATTTGGCACCAAATCTTAGAAGATTAAATTAAAAATCAAATTTTAAGATTGATTATTGATGATTTAGGAAAGTAAATATTTTCTTTATATTATATAATATGATTTTAAAAATTCAATAGATTATAAGTAATTTATTAGTTAGGAATAATCAAATTATGGGGTATTATATCAATATATATATATATATGTGTGTGTGTGTAGGGGGTTTTAGAGAGATTTTTGACTGTTTTCATTCAGGGGTTTTGTTGTGATTGGGTAACAGGATTTGCAGTTTTGAGAAGAAGAAAAGTAAATATTAGTTTCCTATGAAATTATTTTTGGTTGGTGTTGGGCTTGCGAGAAGAACCAAGCCCATTAAACGTAGATATAAATTTTAGGTCCGAATGAGAGGAGCTAGTTCGGACCGGAGTCGGGAAGAAATTAATGTGTTTGAGCACGGATTAAAGCGAAATCCAAAGATAATTTAACTAATCATAAAATAGACTGCAAAATGCAAATAGTCATAAAACATCAAAAAAAAAAAATTTGCAAAATATGTTAACATTTTATATTTTAAAACAAAAATAAATATCTAGAATATTATAAATTATAAAATAAGAGGAATATTTGTTTTTGTTAGTACTAGCAGAACTCATTAATTTCTTCCCGACTCTAGCTAGTCCAAACAAAGAAACAACTGAGAGAAAAAAATTATATGTAATTTGTAATAATATTATACTGCAAAAAAAATATAAGATGCTGAAAGATACATCTAAAATCATATCATTTTAATCATGGTACAAAACTCTTACATGAATTTTATTGAACAAAGAGTTATGGATCCCTTTTTCTTTTTGGCATTCAATGTAGTAGTCATTGTCATATAGAACACTCTATTTCGAGGCATCTATGTGGAACATGTAGTTCACCGATGCTGCTTAAAATTTCATGTCCGAATGCAAAATTTGGTTGCATTGCGTCTTTCACTTATGGTGATGAAATGTCAACACGTTCAGAGAAGTGCACATACACACAATGTACCTGCCCTTTCATCAGTTGTGAGTTCTTTGGATCTTATCTTGATATATATAGCCACGCCACCACAGCACACTCTGAGGACTTGCACGTGATTGAATGCGGAAGAGTAAATCCTATTTGCTTTGCTAATCATCGGAGGTTAGTTCTTAAGGAACAATCTACAGAAGGAGGAGAACTTCTTGTTATGCAACATTTCTGCGGGCCAGATATGACAATTTTTTTCTATTTTTTTGTATTGCACCCAGGCCTGATTGCACCTAAAGTCCCACGAATCGGAATCTTCTCCTGGAAATTGACGGTGCGTTTAGTAGACACAATATCATTTTCACGATGTCTTGCTTAAACACTTAAATTATTGCGTTTATTTCAAGAAGGCTGCTGTCAATGTTTGGGAACATATAATTTGCGTTTATGAAATCAGGTTTGTTTTGCTTAATTAAGATAAACTCTTTTGCATTTGTAATTCATTGTGTTTCTAACGCACGTACGAATAAAATCTCAACATAAGATATGCATGACTCAAGGCAAAAAAAACGAGAGTAAGAGCCATAGATCAACATTTCATCTGCCTTTATATCCCTCTTATGTATGCGTCTTAGGACTTCCCTACATCTGCGTAAGACCTGTCTTATGTACATATGCACGTTATGTCTGCCCTACATCTACCTAAGAGATGTAAATGTCTGCGCCTTGTGTCTACCATATTGAAATGGCTGAATAGTAAAAAACCTTTTAATTAAGTAAATCAGAATAAAAAAGGGTAACGTTGGTATTTTAAAAATAATAGACTATTCCTATAATTTTTAGCTGTAGAGGCTGTAGTTTTTTAGATATAGCTGTAGAATTTTGGATATAATTTTAAAAAAATGAAAGCACGATTAGTAAATATATATTAGTTTTATACTATAAATTAATAATTTTGTTATATATATTGAAAAAGAGATTAGCATTAGAAATGAGAAATGAGAAAAAAAATTCATAGCAATTTTCATATATTTCAATTTTTTTATGGTCTATCATATTTAGAAAAGACAGCAAAGTTTGATTGGTGTAGTAGTAGAACTGTTGAAAGAAAATTGCATGTGTACAACCTCTACAGTAATTATATGATTGGTAACACATTTTTTATATCGTGGAATTACGGAATGGCAGAAAAAATGAATTGCAGAATAATTTATTACGGAATTGCAGAACTTTTTAATACCATTGTATAAATTATGGCGGAATTGCAGAATTACTTATTGAAAATATTCTGCTTTTTACTATATATTATAAAAAATAAAATATTAATAATTCAATTAATTATTATAAAATGATATAATTCTAATTGTAACTTTTTAATAATTTTTTTTTCATAAAAAAAAATATTGCAAACCTTAAATAATAGATATTACTTTATCATTAAATAATTTTGTGTAATACCAAATTATTTATTTGTATTTATTTAAATAATAAAATATAATTGAATAATGTAAACATTGATTCCGCAAATAATCTACTCTAAACACGTTTTTCCGCTTAATGAAAATTTCTTCGTATTTTTTGTAAGCAAAAACGTAATTCCGCAGATCTTGCGTTTTTACATTTTTCCGCAGGTTTTTTTATTGGCAAAATTCTTGTGTTTTTGAGTTTTTCCACTATTCCATAAGTGTTATTAATCAGAGCGATGTTGGTGTTGCTGAACAGACATTTTGTTAGCTGGATGTGATGTCACGCATTAGCTAATACTCTGTGTGCGTATATAAATGCGGGATCCCCATGCGCTAAACCCAATATCATCTCTCTCTCTCTCTCTCTCTCTCTCTCTCTCTCTCTCTCTCTCTCTCATATGTGTAATGATGAGAGAAATGAAGGCTGTAGTTGCAATGGTGATGGTTCAAATTGGCCATGCGGGGCAGGACATTCTATTCAAACTTGCGATCAATGATGGGATGAACATCAGAGTTCTCAAAAAAAAAAAAAAAATGATGGGATGAACATCAGAGTTCTTGTGGCATATCGTCTCATCTTCGCCACCATTTTCATGTTTCCCGTTGCCTTCATCTTTCAAGGGTTTGCATGCGTTTGTTTTAGACATATATCTATAACTTATGCTGATATATTATTAAATGTTTACTCGGTAATTTAGAAACGGTTCGTTGTTACATGTCTACAATCACGAACAAGAGGCCAGAGTTTACATGGAGGCTGTTCATACTAGCATTTATCTCGGGGTTACTCGGGTAACGTAGATCAACTTTATTATATGTATGATTAATGTCTCTAACGTTTTATCACTATGGAACATACAGTGCGGCAGCACCAAACATTCTATTGGCCGAGGGACTGGCTCGGACAACAGCTACGTTTATATCAGTCGCGTACACTCTAGTCCCGCTAATAATATTCGTCTTAGCTGCTATACTTACTCACAGGATGGAGAGTGTACAACTTAAATCGAACCATGGGAAAGCTAAGGTGATTGAGACGCTACTCGGCGTTGGTGGAGCCTTTCTCTTTGTCTTGTACAAAGGCAAAGAGATTCATCTCTGGTCGACTCACATTGGCCTGGGAAGTAGACCACCACACGATGATACCTCCCACAACATCTCCATACTCGGGGCTTTTCTTGTTCTGGGAAGTATGATCTCCTACTCTCTTTGGATTCTCTTCCAGGCAAGTTTTCATTTTGGTTTTGTTATGTATATATAACTAGATCATCGAATATTCTCTTGTTTTAAATTATAACAATGCTATCATTTTAAGATTAGTACAAAACTACAAATACATGGATTATGATAACGGGAGACACATTATATATAGTTTTACGTTTTAATTACACCACCATTTCCTTATACCTTGAACGAAGATATGTACTACACTTTACTGTTAATTTTTATCTTTCTGAAGTAAAAATTTCCAAAATGATAGTCTTATATAAACTTTCTTTTCCATATATGTTTTTCTTTTATATAAAAAGGCTTTTCAGTATATGTTTCACACTTTTATAGCAAAATAGATATTTTTCTTTTTCCAAACTGTTAGATTTTTATATATATTACGTGTTCCTTTATGTATATATATATATATATATAATATGTGTCTCAAATTCTTATTTTATTATTATTTCTTTCTTTCCTTCCTAATCATCTATCAAATGATTTAACTAATTATTACTTTTTGTTTGTTTAATAGGCTAAAATAGGTGAAGGACTTGGAGGGTCTTATTGGAATATCGCTCTAATGAGCATGACGGGGAGGTTGGTGACTATGCTTCTGGCTCTTAGCTGAAACCCCAAGTTGAAAGAATGGAGATTAGGATGGGATATTAGATTGCTTACTAGCATCTTTTCTTTTCGGTAACCAAATCAATTAGATTAGTCTTTTTTTTCTTATATAATTGATGCTATTGTAGGGAGTTGTGATTTCTGGGATGGCCTTCGCGATCACAGTGTGGTGCATGTGCTCCAATGGGCCAGTATTTGTGTCCATGTTTAGTCCTGTAAAACTAGTGGTTGTTGCCATGGTGGATCACTTATTTTAGACGAGCCAATTCATATCGGAAGCTTAAACACTTATATCTACTTGTTGTGTATGGATGGATATCTTTAAACATATCAGTGGTGTAAACAATATGTAATTTCTTATGCTTGCCAACATTACAGCATTATAGGCACAATCTTTATCGTGGGAGTATTGTACCTCGTCTTATGGGCTAAAATGAAAGAAACGGAGAGTACGTCAGATCATTCAAAAACAAATATGGCAGATCATAATACTACCGACGTCTGATCAACATGAGAATTGGACGCCAAGAATAAATATTTAAACTATCGGTGTGGTGAGGGTGTTATGAACTCTCTCTTTTATTTCCAGTTCCTACTAGATAATGAGATATTTTCTAGTTGATCAAACTGGAATAAACAAGTAGAAAGGTGATAGAGAATTGTGTATATATGTGTAATGAAATAAAATAAATAATCTGGAGTTTTAATTTTTACTTAATTTCAACAATATATAAAAAAAACTTGAACTACTGAAAGAAAAGATAATAATTTTTTTTATCATCTTACATTAAACTAAAGACGGACATGAGAAGAAAAAACTTCCAATAGATTTAGCTTGACCTCTAAATATGTTTTATATTGAACTAAAGATGAACATGAAAGAAAAAGACTTCTGATAGATTTACCTCAATACTTAATATTTTTTCCCTTGATTTTTACGCATTTTGCCAGCACTTGAAGCGATCACAAACCTCCTCTTCCAACACAGGAAAGCGATCAGACATGATAATATAGAGGGTATGATTCTTCCTTCCAGTTTTATGTCCAGCAGCCACAGCATCGTAAAATGCTATCTCCTTATCTCCAGTTCATGGCTAACACCAAAAGAAAAATAAATCAACAAATGAAAAAACAACAATATGTGTAAATATGTGTAAAGCGGCAATGTTTAACAATATGCTTACATTATACTTGCGACGTTCGGCGGATCTAGATGCAAATCCAGACGTTGTACCAAAAAAAAAGATAAAACAAAAAAATGAGTTCAATACTTATTTCTCTTTCCCTTGATTCTTTTTCTTTTCAATCTTTTGCCAGAGTTTGAAACGATCATGAACCTTCTTTTTTAACACAGGAAATCAATTAGATAGAACGATATGAAATGTATGATTCTTCTTTCCAGTTTTTTTTTTCTTTCTAAACTATTTCAACAACAACAACAATAAAAATAACAATTCAGTATAGAAGAGAAATGGCATAAAGATATTGTTATGCAATTGTTGTACAAAACTAGTATAAAAAAAGAAGAATATATTGTTGCGTAATCCTTCTTAAAAGTGGACGACTCTATAAACCAATTAAAAACGAATAGACAAAGATTTTAAGTCAAGGATAACACTCAGGAATTGACTTATATATAATTTATAGTCCATGGAATTAAAAGAAAAGCAAAGTGAACAAATGGATGAAAATTAAGAGAATTTTTAATCTGACAGTATGATACATCATATATATGAATGACAAATTAAGAAAATAGACTATTTAAGAAAAGATATATATGGTTTAGAATTTAACTTTAGAATTCAAAATTTAATTCTATTTTGTTAGTCCTAAAAATAGTACATATATATGGAGTTCGATAACAAAAAGAGATGCTAAAACTGATTGGGCTTAGAAAGGATACCATTCATGTTAGCCCATTGGTCCATAGTGTAACCAAAATAATTTGTAATTTGTAAATGGGCGGGCTTAAGAATCATCTCTTCTCGATGTTTGTCAATAAGATGACTAGGCCTGTCCTAGTTTTATTTCTTGAATTTCAAGAAGTAACCTATAAGTGATGTTACATGTGTATTAGTGTGGTTTACATCCTTACTACGACACTTGTCATCTTCACCAGCACCACCATCAAACTTGTTGTGACAGTTAATTAATTAGCCTTCTACATTGCCTCTAAGTCTAACTCCATGTTTTATGAGAGTAAAATTTTTAAACATTGCATATGAAGTTAGACAATGAATTAGCTGATATCATATCACACACAAATATAAAGTGCAACCGGAACAGCTTAAGAGTTTAATATCCACAATGAGATTCCACCACTCGCTCATATCTGAAGAGGTGTATTAGAACTAATTGTATTACTTGTTTAGTGTGATTATCCAGTTAGGTTATGTCATTGTTAGAATAATATAGTTTTTATTTCTTGTTAAAATTTAGGATAATATACGAGACATAAATACTTAGTTAACTAATTCAGCTTAATCTAAGAAAAAATCTCTTCGTCATTGACCTTTACTCACAGAGAAAACGGAGGTATATAACTTGGAGGTTATAAAGGTGATGAGAAAGAAGATTGCTTCTTCTTTTATTCTTTCTAAAAACGTAAACGAAATATGTGTGTATATACCCCGACTAGGCTTTATTTTGATTTGTTGACATTATTGGTTTCTTAGTTTATAAGAGAATATATTTCTTGGTCAAATGTTTGGACAAACTTCACATCAAGCTAACATCATAACAAGGCATTTATAGAAGACGAGTATAATTTTCTGTGATTTATGAATTCAATATGATCATGATGGTACCAACTTTTGTATTTACATCCGAGTGTCTTAATACTTAAACTAGATTTTGGACATGCGCAAGTGCAGATTTCTTTTCATATATTTTTTTGGCCTATAGCAAAAATCAGCATATATTATTAAATTTGAAATTATAGTCTAAACATATTTTTTATTAGATTATATCAACTATTGTTTACATTATGATTTTATGTTTTTAAAATTATTTAAGCTTGATTTTATATAAAAAATCAACAAATATTTAGATTAGCGGATGTTCTGTTAAGATTCGTAACAAATATTTCAAAATATTGTGTCTTACAATGCAAGATTTCAATATTTGCTTAAGCTTTGCTTGTTTTTTTTTATCCAGATGCTTATTTAAATGCAAATGATCAAATATTGCTTTTTTAAATCAGTATATTTCCTCGTAAAACCCGTAAAATCCGCAAAATCGTGATTTATGATCAAGTTTTTAAAATTATGTATTTCTGCTAAATCTACAAAATCACATTTCCCGGCAAGCTGACTTTTTCTCGCAAAACTATATTTTTTCTTTTTTTTAATGACAAACTTTAAAAACTTATAAAACCCATAAAATCCACAAAATTATGTTTGTTAAATCCACATACCTATAATTTTATGTGAACCTATGTTTTTGAAAAAAACCTATAAAATCTGCAAAATCGTGTTTCTTTGTCAAAACCCAGAAAGTTGTGAAACTGGTAAAATCTGCCAAAAAAACTAAATCATATTTCCTGTTAATACTGTAAAACCGTTTTTTATGGCTAAGTTCTCAAAATCATGTTTTCTGTCATACCTTGTAAAATTTGCCAAACTAAAAATTATATATTATATCCAGTAGTTATCTCATTATACATAATAATTATGATTTAATAAATATCGTCAGTATACTTTTTATTGATTGTCGAATTTTTTTAGTTAGGATTGTATGGATCTGTTTTGAATATTAGGTAGAGTATAATATAAATTTTATCCTGATTTGATTTGTTTAGGATATTATTTATACAATGAATCCTAAATTTTGAGTAATTTTAAATATACCTTAATATTTTAAAAATTGTAGGTATTTGTAATATATGATTAAATACATAAAGATCTATATATTTAAATATTTGGATTGGTTGTTAACTTGGAAAGATTTAGTTAGTTGGGTTGTTAAATTTTTATTTTATATATTTGGGTATATTCGAATGGGTTGTTAATTAAAAAAATGCACACTTCATTCATTTATATATAGGTTTAATCGTTGTTGCTAAAAGTAATAATGAATTAGTTAGTTAATTATATTTAAATAATAATGGATTCATTTTATTTTATTGGTCCCGATAGCAAAGGTTTAGGTCATTTATGGTTTGGATAACCAATCGGATCGATTGGTTTATCATTCAATAATCAGTTTTGCATGTTTTATCATAAAATCAATATGTTGAGGTTTTCTTTAGACGAAATGAAAAATGGGTCATTGTGGAAATTTGATAGTTATTTTGTGTGATTTTAAATGTTATGCTTAAGTGATGAATAACCAGTAGTTGAAACTCTTAGTATTAGAACTTTCTTAGGAATTGAATTGGTTGATTAATACTCTCTCTGTTTCATAATAAGTGTCATTTGTAGAAAATGTATATGCATTGTAACTGGATGTATCTGGATGTGTTTTGAATTTAATATATCCAGATATATTGCAAATATATTTTCTCTAAATGACACTTATTATAAAACAGAATGAATAGTTTATAAACTTTTCAGGAGCATGTATGTTATTAATTGGGGAGTCAATGAATTTATCTGGTTAGTATGTGTGGTATGGTGAGTATGTGTGGTAAGCAAAAACATTTGTTTGGTTTAAAGGTTAAGATGAATCCTACCAATAATCCTATTTATTTGATTAATGTATAACAATAATTATGTTGTTCATGTTATATTTTTTTATATATTAACATAATAAAATTATAAATTTTTTTAGTAAATACAATGACAGGACTTGTAAATATTATGATAGCTTATAAACATTTTCGAAGAAATATTCTCTTTTAATAGTATAGATACTTATAAATATATAATTAATATAGTTAATACCATTTACATAATTTATACATAATATTTGTATTTATTCATTAACGACAGATGTTGTAAATAACACATTAGATAAAGGTTAATTTAAAAATAGGATCCTCTTTTATATAGTATAGATTAAAACTAAAATATATTAAGATTTTATTTTCCATCCACAAACATGTGAGGAGTATCCATTAGTTTAGGTGTTTGATTAATTCAAACTATTTCAATTAATCAGTTAGCCCATTTCTCTTTCAGGTCGCAAACATTCAGACATATGATGATTAGTATGTTACTAATTTACATTAGCTTAGTAATTTATAAACCAAGCTACAGATTTCAGACATGATCAGAAATATTCCATATAGACAAAAAATAGCCATAGAACATATGTATATAAGTATATTCCATCTGATTGGCTTTTTCCATAAACACACCCACATAAAAGCAAAATAAATTTCCATAGAAATATACTACTATACACCAGCTACATATTTCCATAGAAATGAAAGAACTACTTTTTCGATTGAATCAAAGCTGAAATTAATTTAACTGGAAATTTGAAATATGATTTTTCTGAAGAAGAAGAAAAAACATTAACAAATTTTTAAAAGATACTAATACATAAGCGGGTAAAATTGTTTTACAATTTAACCGCTGGTCATCATCATCCTCACAAACTCATCATAATTGACTTGACCATCACCATCCAAATCTGCCTCCTTTATCATTTGATCAACCTCTTCATCTGTTAGCTTCTCCCCAAGATTGATCATCACGTGCCTCAACTGCAATTATATATCAAAAGTAATAAGCTTATAGTATATGTCTATATGCATGATAAACATTGTTTACTAAGAATTTTTACTTTGTAGCATATATCATGGACAGTGCACAAGAAAAATTAGGCTTAGAACCTAAATGCAAGTAAAAATACAAATACATGAAATTGACTAAAAAGGGAATATCAATATATTATTGAAAAATGTAATTAACGAATAATGTTCTTTTGTATACTCCAAAGGCAAAACATGTTGAATTACGTTGGAAAAAAATGTATGAACTACTCTCTCCACTTTTAAAAGAATATAGGTAAGAAAAATGTTTGTGTGTGAAAAGAATATGTCTACATATTATTTTGCACTAGGTGAGACATGTGCTCTGCCCCAAAGCCCAATAGAATCAAACACATTTTACTAAATGCTATATACATTTTAAAATATTTCTTTTGACTTAGTTATCCTCCAAAAAAGTCACAATGCCAGCTAGTTCGAAGCCTCAAACAATTTACCTTTCTACGACGTAAGACAGACATTTTTTAATTAATTAACAAACAAAATAAACAGCCATATCTTGTTGTTATTTTCTTGTCTAAATTCATATATGAGAAAAGAATAAGTTAGACACCTAAGGATCTCTTGTAAAACTCGAAATATCGTATAACCTGGTTGTCTGTCATTAATTAAAAAAATTCTAACAGTGATTTAGCTAGATTTATCCTTTATCAAATGCTTAATTGCTTAATTCCGTGCGAGTGCACCACTCATTAGTGCAAGACGTCAATATTTAGTACTAATCTAGACACAATATATATATATATAATCCACTTTTTTACCTATACATGAGTGTAACCCACTTTAGACACTGAATTACTAGAAACAAATACAATCAGTCATAATTGTATATTGATATGCCTCTAATCATTGAATCAGAGATGAAAACATAGCCGCACGTACAAAGCTTTGTACAAAACTCAATGGAGTACATCGACGTGATATCTGTTCTATAATACTTTAATCAATTGATCTCTAAATATAAAACCTTTAACAAAAAACATCTAAATATAAACAAAAAAAATATGAAGATACATAGATAAGCTTAAAAAACGTATGTAATTGAAAAACTTTGAAGATCTAGAAAATTTAAAGGCAAAAGAGAGAGGCAAAAGTATATATTGTATAACTAAGAGAAGAAATGAATTATATACTTACCTCACTGGCAGAGATGTAACCATTTTGGTCTTTGTCAAACACTTTGAATGCTTCTTTCAGCTCCTCATCTGCATCAGTTTCCTACAGAACACAAAATTAATTACTTTATAGAAGAAGAAAAAAAAAAACCCATAAAAGATGAAGAATCTATGATTCATTGATGTAATTTTCTTATAATTAAAAAACCTGGATTTTGCTGGCCATGAGGTTGAGAAACTCAGAGAATTCGATGGTGCCGTTACCATCAGAGTCGATCTCATTGATCATATCTTGAAGCTCTTGTTCGGTCGGATTCTGATCCAACGAACGGATCACAGTGGCAAGTTCATCAGCAGTGATGCAACCATCTCCATCTTTGTCAAACAGACAAAACGCCTCTTTAAACTCCATTATCTGTTCTTGCGTCAGTTCTTGTGTCTCGTCCATCCAAATAAAAACTGTTCTTATGAGAGAGAGAGAGGGAGAGAGAGAGAGAGACAGAGAGAGAATAGCAAAAATTAAAATCTTTGAAGTGCTTCAACTCTCATTCTGCTTTCCTATATACATGTAGAAGTCTTTGCTTTTAGGCTCTCCTGCTTTGGACTCATTCACTTTTTCCACCTTTTTTTTTAACAAATCTTTTTCAAATAATTTATTTTCAATTTCATCTCAAGTCACATGACTCGAAATATATTTCCTTAAAAGAATTGATTACGAACGAGTCATAAGATATTTTCAGGTTAACTATAGTGATTTGATTGAAACTCTTTTTAAAATTCTTTTACCGTAGAAAGAGCGTACATATATCAAGATATAGTAAGTGTGTATTTGTTGGTTGACCAAAAATTAAAGAGTGTATTGTTTCTTCTAAAATATTCGGCTCACTTGAAGATCAGAATCACGTCAATTTCTCGAGTGTTATTATATGTTTTTATTTTATTTTATATAATAATGGAAACGGCTTTGTTTCGAGAAGCAATTTGTGTTTACTATTTCTTTTACTTTGTCAGTGTATTGACCATATATATATTAGTATCACTTGAATACGCGGTACCATATCAATCGCTATCGACCGCAACGCGGTCAAGATGTGGTCGATCGTAACTGTACCTTTGTTGAATTTGATATATATACATGACTCATGTTCTACAATATAAAAAGAGTTTTTCTTTGTCGAATATAAATGACTGGAAAATGTAAATGGGATGATTTTTGGTATTATAACTGTAAATGATTGCGAATTGTGTAATTTGTAAATGTACATAAAATGATTTTGTATGTAAAGTAAATACTTATAAATGGGTGTGGGTTTCGACAGCTGTAATAGTAGATGACGAGGAGACAAAGAGCATTGAAATTGTAGACCAAGCATCTTCGTTACGGGAGTACGTGTCGATCTGTTTTTGCGTTTCTCATTATTTTTAACACATTCTTCCTGTAAAATTTGATTCCTTACAAATAAAAATAAAAATTCTCCGGCCAAATCAGATCACCGCCGACTCTCTTTCACGTCGTAGTTCCACCATATACTACAACTATGTGTGTATGATATAAATAAAAAGAATTTGTTTTAATGTGGTTATTTTCATTTAAGAGTGTTCATGATTTTGAAGAACAAAACGTAGAAAATGGTTATTAGGATCCTTTCCAATAATTCTGGTTTAGTATTGTTTGTTACTTTGTTCATCAATACATGAAGGACTAGAGATTGTTTAGTCATTTTGCTAATTCTTTTAAGAAATGTTTAAATTTTTCTTATAAATTTTAAAATTATAATTTTTCAATATATATTCGAAGATAAAATATAATGAGATTCCCCCATGAGATATTGAAATTATTTGAAGGTTTTGCAAAGTTCAGGTGGAAATATTTGTATACACGAATAATATAGTTAGTAGAGAAAAAGACATTTTTAAAAATAAAATAAAAAGAGCAGAGTCAGCTACAACCAATCAAACACACATGTATAGACACCGACCTCTAGTGCATGCTTAAACTTGTTGACTAAGCTGAATTGACCATGTCCAAAATCATCATTAGCTCATAATCAATTAACCATTATCAAAACAAACAGAATCTTATACGTAAGTGATTTAAAAAGTCAGAACTTAAGCTGGACGAAATCGAACACTCACCAAAAAACAAACATTTTGACATTATTCAGTAATATTTCTACACACGACATAAACAACTCTGGAACGATAATTCTTTATAGCCCGTAGAAAAAAAAGGAAAAAAAGTTATCTTTAAATTTACAAGTTTTACGTATAATCGCGTTGTACCCAAAACTAAATATAAGCTTTTGGTTGTATCTATAATGTCGGTCAACCCGAAACCCTAAATACAACACTCTCGAACGTGTCCTTCATTGCAACATGTTGACTTGAATGTTGGTATTTGAAAATATGAAGTGGAGGAAAATGATGCTCTCAATATATTTAGTCAATACAAATATACGGTCATTTAAATGATTAAGTTCTATTCTGATTATGTGGTCTCGATAGAACTTAGTGACTTACTAATTTATATCAACACACGATAGTTAAAATAATCATTCGTATACATATTTATATGGTCTTTGTAGAATTTAGTAATACTAACTTATACAAAGTGTCACATATGGTATATACCATTAGCCAAGCTTACGTGTAGTGTTCGGATGCCTTTTGATCTTGCAAAGTCAAAAGTAGTATAATGCTAACATTCTTAAAAGTTGTGGTGACCCAATTTAGAGTGTCGTTGCTTTTAGTTTTTTATTTGTTTTGAACTTTTTCTACGTTGCTTTTGGTTTTGTCTTTATATTTGACCTTTTGGTTCAGCAAATATAATGTAGATTTTTTAAAATAATAAAGTAGTGTGTAAAAAATACTCTATAAATTTCTAATGTGTTTTTATGTCACACAGTTACAAAATATAATGCAAAATGATAATTAGATTTAGAATACAGTAAAATATTTATAAATTAATATTCGATTTATTAATATTTTATAAATTAATATTTTTTTATTCTTAAAATTAATTTATCAACTAAATAATATATTTATAAATTAATAACTACTATAAATCAATAAAATTTATGACTCTTTATAATTCTGATATTATTAATTTATAGAAATTTTAATGTAATTATCATTTGAGTTAGGATTGAAATTTGAGATCTACCCACATCCAACGTATCTATACTATAAAAGATGACTAACTCTCTCCATATGAGTGTCACCTCATCATTTTGGTTTATAAAAAAATTATGATACAAATTATTATACTTAATTGGGGATTTAATGTACTTAATGCATTAAGTATTAAGATATTATGATTATAAAATATATTTAATGCATAAATTTAATGTATTAATTAATTATAATACTAAAAGAATATAAAAATATGAAGTATTAGATAATAAATTTTAACAACAATATATATTTAATATCCAAAAATAATATTGAATATTTATTTTTTGGTAGTTTTTTAAAATCGACAAAAAAATTTATGTTTCTTATTTAATAGTATTTTCTTATTTCTATTTAATATTATAAGTTATTATTATAAAAACAATTATACAAATATAAAAATAACGATAATTTGATACTTTAAACCTAAAAAGTTAGAATAAAAATTTATACAATATTATAATAAACTTTAAAACAATTTCTTTATAAACTAATAATTATTTGATAATTTATTTTATTCAAACTTGATCTATTAATAATTTTAAATTAATAAGATATCAAAGTTCTAATATATTTATTTATAAAATATTTAATGCAGATGTATAAATTAGAATTATAAATCAATTATTTAAGCTCATAAAAATATAAAATGACAGCATTGCTATTGTGTAAATCTGCGTCATGAACAAATACAACATGTTAAAAAGGGTCGTCTCTACCTATGTTGTGCTTGCAGAGTTTCTCTAATTAAATTTTGTTATATATTACTTCTCTAATTTGCAGTATATCTATTTAATATATTTTATATATAAGGTGTAATATATTTTACATTTTCTTATCAATAAACCATTTATCATACATATTATATGTTTACTCAAATACACAATATCCTTAAGAAAAATTTATATTGTGTAACTACACTTTTTAATAAATTATATTGTTAACAAAAATTTGCATATCACGCGAGTACTAATCTAGTTTAACCAAAAAAAACTAAAAATATGTAAATTTTCGCCATTAAAACCAATCTCTATATTATTGTCCAATAATATAGTTCACAAAAAAAATTTCAGATTTGATCTTAGACAGATACAAAAATTTCAGTAAAGCCAAAAGCATGTAGAACGAAGAATATACAAAAGAGCATGCATATATAGAGTTTATGTTACTGATTAGTTAGTTAGTAATTTAATATCATGAATGGCAATGAAAAATATGATAAAGAAATCAGAATTGTGATAGACGAAACTGTAAAAGTCGTCCAAATATTTGGAGACGATTTTCCTGGTCCTTTGTACAGATGTTGACGTACGCAAACTTATATATATTATATCCTTTTATGTCGTGAACTATAGAATAAATTCTTTTTTGGTTAAAGGATTTTGCTACAGAATATAAATATTAATTTCGGTTCTATAAATATATCAGATGTTTAAAACATTTGAATAAAGTATTAACAACTATTGGATGTAGTGGACTAATGGTTTAAGCGTATGTGTTAGTATTGTTATGTTTTTAGTTCAATTTTCGGTGGGAAAAATATATAATACCACAATAGTATTATCAAAAGTTGGTCCTGTGTCTGAGGAGGAATTAGAGCTTAGACTCAAACTCTTCCTGGTCATAAAAAAAAAAGATTTAAATAAAGTACTAATATGATATAATCGATTTTGAAGAAAGTGTGGTTTCACTACAAATATGTAGGCAATAGTTTCGAAAGAGATTTGGATGTAGTTAAGTTTTGGTTACTGAGATTAAATATGTTTATTCAAAAATAATATAGATAAACTGAGATTTAGTTAAAAGAATTAAGAAAAAATTATAAATTTTTATTGTGTCATTTGTTAATACATTATATCAGTTCTTTCTTTAATTAATAAGCTAGAAGAATATAGATAAACTAAGATTTAGTTAAAAATATTGTACTGAAAATGTATAATGATATTTTTTGTGAAATAAAAAAAAAAATGTTCAAAATGACATTTACTTATGAAACAGGAAGAATATATTTAAGCAGGCATTGGAAACACTTGCTCTGGTTCACTCTAAATATAAACTGAATCATAAGCTAGCTTTGTTATTTGCTGATGCCGATACCAATGATATTTATGAAGAGGCTAAGGTTGTTGTGGGTAAATACCTTGCTAAGGTTGACCCACTTTCTTTAGAGGAAGCTCTGGAATCGCTGAGAGATATTGTGGTTGTATATGCAGCAACCTGGTTGCATTGGGAGAAGAGTAAAATGATTCATTGGTGAAGGTGATGTTGAACCAAGGTCACTTTGAGATCTGTTAGATTGATTTATTTTGGTTTGTTTTAATGGATTTAAAACACTTTCCTTTTTCACAGTGATTGCTGAACGTCTTATGGTGGGTTAGAGGAAGAAGAGGCTCGCATTGGACATACTTGTTGGGGTTCACAGAAGGCATGAACTTAACCATGCCCTTGAAGAGTTCTTTGCTGATACTGAGGAGTGAGGACCAAGGTGGATGAAGATCAAGGTGTTTTTGCTGAAGGTCAAGATGCTCTGCCAGTCGTCAGATTTGAATAGTCCCGCATAAGCTTAATAATTGCACATTAAACCATAAATAATTCATTTTTTAATTTGACAAAGAATATAAACCATAAATAATCAAATCACCAAGACACTAACACAGTGCTACCAAAAGAATAAAAAGTAAGAAATTGAAGCTCCTCTTCATCGACCAGAAAAAATAGTAATCCCTCCCCAAAATAAATATATAATTTGGTTCGTGATTGCGCATAAAAAAAAAAACAAAGTAAATGGTCGATGAACCTTACTCAGTTTTCAAATTTGTTCAACTAAGTTCCCTACATTAAAGATAAATTAATCTCACCACGTGTAGTTAGCAGCAACCAGTGAGTAGGCAAAATGAATATATCTTCAAAATAGAGTTTATGATATCCAAATCATAAAATAGCAACGTAGTTCCTCTAGTTCGAGAAAACAAAATTCGATCATGTTTTTCCTTACTATATTACATTGGTGAATTTAGAACACCAACTAAACATTGTACCAAACGTTATTTTATTTAAATGGTTGCATTAATTCTCTTGGGACATATCAGAAGGCTTCCGAACAGCTCGGAGCTGAACAGAGTTGTCAAAACAGTGGAAGAAGCCAAAGTGAGGGAACCTCTCGTACCAAGTCTCTTGCGGCACATGCGTGTCCCAGTGTTCTCCGCTACTGCTCTTACCGTACTTGTGAACCCAACCCGAACCGTTATGTCCTTCACCCCAACTCCGGTTCCACCGGTCACCGTGTTTCCCTTCCCACCAAGTCTCGCCTTGCTTCACTCCTTGAGCGCTCGGGTTAAAGTTCTCGTCCCATTTGTCTCCCCACTTGTCCCAACCGTCTCCGACCCACCTCTCTGCCCACTTGTCTGTGTACTTCGTGCTTCCTCCTTGCCCGTCGTACTTCTCTCCCCACCTAAAACAAACCAAGAACAGAGTTGGAAACATTCGACTTTGTGTTTTAAAGAGAATATGTTAATAATGTGTTTTGACTTTTAAGTACCTCTCATGCCAGACATGAGCGTGTCCAACATCAAGTGGTGTGTTACGGTCAAGGCTGCACCACTTGTGAGCCCATTTCTCTGATTTTCCAGTAGCGTCGTAATGCTCCCACCACTTCTCTTGCCATTCATCGCCTTGCCCACTCTTTCCCCATTTGTCTGCGGTTTTCTCCATATGCACAACACCATTCTCCTGTAACCACACAATTCAAATGAAAACTCTCCTCTACGTAACGCTGCGTAAAAGTAAGGTTTCACTGACCTGCATCATTGCCTCTCTCCAGAACTCACGCCACACGTTTCCAGCAGCATCGCGTCCTGATTTCTCCGAACCGAGTTCCTTGAACCCGAACTCATCAGAAGCCTCCCAATACTTGTCTTGCCACTCGACAACACCATCAGCAGTAACACCACGTATCATTGTCCACCTGCAAACCACACCGTCAGGCCTTTTCTCCACACCAGTCTGCTTCCACCACTTCAGTCCGTCTTGGCTAACTCCGGAGGACGAAGACTCATCCAAACCATCAAGCACACGAGCCGCTTCTTCCGCGTTTGCTGAAGATATGAGATCGAGGTCATGTTCCGACGACGATGTCTTCGTCTCTGTCTCTGGCTCTTTCTTAACCTCGATCAAAGACTCGAAAGGAGGGATAACAAAGCTGTGTCTTTCGGAGGAAAGCATGCTCTCGTAAGGTATCGACAGAGAATCCGACGAATGCTCTTTCTCCAGTACAGGATTTGACATTGTTGGAAACTCAGCTGGCTCAACCGCAGCTTTCAAGTCTCCGTTGGCATTAGAGCTCATCTCACTACCTTGAGGAGGTGTCCATGACCAAAAATCAGGTCCTGGAGTCTCAGACCCAGAAGTTTCTGAGCGAGGCACATACACTGTTCTGCTCCACATTCCTGTTTAATCCCAAGAACATAGATTGTAAAAAAGCTCAGATACTAAACCAAGTGAGTGTGGCTTCTCCTACTACATTTAATCAAAGATTATGCATTTCAACAACACATAACAAACAAGATGAAGTACTAATCATATCATACTCTGGATTATACGAACGATAGTGAAGATACAAACGCCAAATACCAAAAAAATTGAAAATTTTGATCAAGCGAAGAAAGTAGTAACCTGATTTAGCATTTTTTTGAGTCTCTGTAGATTCACTTCCGCCACTCTTATCCTCTTTAGGAAACCCCTCTTTCCCGTCGCCTGAATTGTTAGAGGCGAGGATCGCTTTCGCCGCCGAGATCGCAGCCGCTGCACGATCGACGACCTGCATCCGCTGAATCCGATCCCTCTCCTCGACGGAAACCTCCAGGATCTTCTGGAACTCGTCGCTCTTCTTCTCTAATTCGACTTCGCCTTTCTCGCCGCCATCGACGGCTACATTCTCGGCTATCTTCTCAAAGGCCTTCTCCTTCTTCTCGCGATCGACAGCGTTCTTCCACATGTGAAGGTACGATTCAGCTCCTTCATTTGAAACCCTAAGAGTCCTCAATCCGCTTCTCCCCCTTCGATTCCTAGAACTCGCCGTCGTGAAAATCGACAAAGAGGAGGAATCACGTCGTCGTCCGTCGTCTAAGTGAGGGGCGTGTGACGCGCTTAAGGCGGCGCGTACGGAAACTCCAAGACGCGAAGCCATTTTCTTCCGAGTTTGATTTTCGACGTTTCGAAATTAGCGGGTGATGTATGATGAAGAAGAAGAAGAAGCTTTTTATAAACACACACTCTCTCGCTTTTTTATGTTCACTTGTTTTGATAAAAAAGAAACGATTCTTTCTTTTCTCGTGATTTGAGTGGTAAAGTTGTAATTTTGCGTGTCTATTAAGGGAAGTACTTCGCTTGACCGACCTCATTTTTTGTGTGTGTGGGGCCGACTTCTGTACGAGAGATATCAATTCTATTTTCTGCAATGACACGTGGCATTTTCGTTACCGTGAATGAAAACCGATTAAATAATGACACTTGCAAATGCAAAGAGGGGTTCTGTATTTTTGCTGTTTATACTTTTGACCCCCAAATCAAATTTCTTTACATTCTTCCTCTCCCACGCTCTTTTTGGATTTTGCATTTTAACCCAATAAACATTAAGAAAAAGTTAGAGATTAGTGAGATTCGTTTTGATAGTTTTCCAAGTTGAAAATCTTCAATTTTACTACAATATTGAATACGACAAACCTTGTCAAAACTTGTCTCGTTTGGTGTCAGACGACTTTTACTTTTCTTTAAAAAAATTATTTTATTTTCAACAATTGTTCTGTTATAATTCCTTACTTGTTCGATACATCATCATTCTGGGATTCTTGCTTTATTAAACGTAAAACCTAGAGCCGTATACATCAGAACGTCATAAGTTCTCCTTTTACGTAAAACCTTTTATGAAAAATCATTGTTAGATAGCGAGATGTTGTTACGTGACCAAAAAAAGAAGTTAAACAAAAAGAAGAGATCAGTTTTTTTGGCCAAATAAAAACATAACTCTACTCATTTGAATGAGATTATCATCATTTGAATGTGGTTAGGGTGATGATCGCAGATTTATCCTAAGTTCCTAACCAAAAGTAGACTTGTGACGGAAACATGTTGTTAGGGTGATCAGGTGATGATTACAAATATACCCTAACCAAATGACGTATGAACCGAAGAGCCAGCGATACATTTTATACTGTAGCAAAATGATGTATTTGGTGCAATTTACAATTATATGTCACATGCATGAAAATGTGAATAACAAATATTCTTCTTTAGCGGTTTAAAGTCGTTCACTTTTCAAATCAATTCTTGCATTTCGCTGTCGGGTTCTTCCTTACTTCTTTGGAATTTTGTTCCCGTTTTGGCATGTAGAGAGAGAGAGAGAGAGAGAGATGGATTCAGAGTGTTTGTACCAATGCTTCTTCTGTTGCGTCTCTTTGGGCTTCATTAAACTCTTTTAAGTTCTTAAATGGGCCAACGCTGAAATTTATATAGCTCCCATTGGGGTCACTCCAAAAAGGAAGCGCTAAACTGAAAGGAGTGTACAGTAAAAGACGTGAGAGGTAACCACGTGGCAGTCAGAGGTTTTGCGTTGAGTCGATTGTAGCCAGGTTGGCATATATGGTCAAACGTTGACTAGAAATAGTCATACAGTTTCTTTCTTCCTCCACGCGCTCTTACTTCACGCGCAGTCAAACCAACTATGAAAATTATTAGCCCAATGCAAAACAAAAATAAAAACTGTTAAATAAATTACTTAAAACGGCCAAATAGAGCTGATTCTTCATGAAAAAAAGAGAATTACGTATAAAATTTTGTGTAGTCGGGTAAGATTAAACAAATTACATAACAAATCGGCTTGAATTAATGGATAATTATCCATAAAAACTACACTATATTGGGCCATAAACAGGCCCATACAATACCGAATCGGCGCGTGCATTAACGATTTTTCGGAAGAGACAAAAATTTAATATGTTTTTTCGATTTTTCATATAATATCATCATTTTACAACTAAAAAGTAATTTTCTACTTTCCGTCGCCTTTCTTCTTTTTGAAAAATCTCTCAACTTTTTTTTTTCTTTTGTTTACCTTCGACGACCCTTTCGATCATCGGAAAAGCTCTTTTTGAAGTCACCCAACCAATAGTAGAAATTGATTTCTTTTTTTGGAAATTCCGACAATTCTCTTCTCTCTCTCTGTCTCTCTGTGAAATTCTCGAGATCTGTTTGTTTCTCAGTCCTTGTAATTTGGGTCCAACCAGTAACAATGGGGTTTTGTGAAGGTTTGCGAGTTTTTCTATAATCGATGGTGATGATCTTTTCCATCTGAGTAGAATCTCACAGCCTCTTTGAAAAAAAAAAAATAGTCTTTCTTCCTTGTTGTTGTTAAACTTTTTTGGGGCTGAATCGGAATAAAAATTGATGGAAGCGGGTAGCTCCAATTCGTCGGGTCAGCTTTCCGGGCGGGTCGTTGACACAAGAGGCAAACACAGGATTCAAGCCGAACTCAAAAGGCTTGAACAAGAAGCTCGCTTCTTAGAGGTATGTGCACTTTCCTCCAAAAAAGCCCTTTTCTTTTGCTGTTTCTCTGACTATTCAGCTTCCTGTCTGTAGTTTATCATATTGAATGGTAATAATCTGATTGAAATACGGTAGGGAATTTTAAAGTTTGAAACTTTTAGTATTGGGAATTGAAAGAGCAAACAACACAGCAAAGGGAATCGATCTGATTTAAGGGTTTTGTTGTTGTGATCCCATGAGTGATTATAGCATTTTGGTATTGTGGTTTAGTAGTGTCTTCAATCTCTATGGTTGCTTCTCTGTTGATATATAGAGGGTTTAAGCAAAACATTTTGTACCATTTGTTGTGATGTGGAGAAAACATTTTGTACCATTTGTTGTGATGTGGAGAAAGTGACTTTGTTAGTTATTTTCAAAGGTTATATATGATTTATGAGCTCTGGGTTTTAAGAAGTACCTTTAGAAAATGACTTGTGCCCTCCCCTAGGGTTTAAGCTCTTGTCCATGTAGCTGTTTGGACAATTCTGAAATCGAATAATTGTCTTTGGCTGCTCTTAGAAGTTACAAGGTATATATGATTCTTCCTCCATTTGTATTCAGGAAGAGCTAGAGCAGCTTGAAAAGATGGATAATGCATCAGCTTCTTGCAAAGAGTAAGAAACTTGTGCCTAAAACCATTATCCGGTTCAGGAATAAGATCTCGTTCCATAACATTTGACTCGTTTCCCGAATGGATGCAGGTTCTTAGACAGTGTTGACAGCAAACCGGATCCTCTTCTTCCCGAGTAATTCTACTTCTGATTTCCAAATAGTTTCTTTTCTTTTTGTGACAGCAAGCTCGGTCTATGAGATGATTTGTTCTGATTTTAAAGGTTTCTTTTTGGTGATTTACTTACTTACTTGCAGAACAACAGGGCCAGTGAATGCAACATGGGATCAATGGTTCGAAGGCCCGAAAGAAGCAAAACGATGTGTCTGCTACATTCTTTAATCTTCATTTTCACCTTTTTTCTCTACTTTTCTTCCACAAGAGTTTGCGTCTTTTTATATTCCTCGGCAGTTAAATTTGATGTAATTGGCAAAAAAAAAAAACAGAATGATTCATTTGTGCAGATAAAAAAATCTATTGATATCAATGTGTCTCTTAATTTACAGACTCTGAAACAAATCAAGATTCTCTTCTTTCAGATATGAAAATTCTGGACACAGTTTCAATGAAAGCAACCAAAATAGTTGAATCTTGTTACATAAAAAGACATTGATACACTGTTAAAAGAACAGCTGAAGCAGTAAGAAAAGAACAAAAATGGAAAAAGTACTCTCTGTTTCAGTTCTGAATTAATCCTTATTAACTTGTGGCTTTACCTGTAACTTTCTGAGCAATCCAACCAAGACCATCGTACAGTCCTTCTCCAGTAACCGCACAGCTAGCTTGAATATGCCAATCATGGTTCTTGATGCTGTGAAGGTTAAGTGCATCAGTGATCTCAGCTGGTGTCATTGCGTCTTTAAGGTCCTGTTTATTCGCAAACACGAGTATGACCGAGCTTTGAAGATCCTCGTGACCAAGTAACCTTGAGAGCTCGTCTTTCATGAACGAGATCCTCGCTCTGTCTGTGCTATCGATAACCACAATCACTGCATGTGTTCCTCGGTAATATGTTGCCCATGATGTTCTTAGCCTGTCTTGCCCACCAAGATCCCAAACCTAAACACAAACATCATATCAATGAAGCAACATAAGCATCAAATCTTCATTTTGCAGAAGCTTAAAAGACCGAGTGTGAGTAAATGTCAGAGCCAAACAGTTGCTTTTGTACATGAACTGATTCAATACTGTAAGACAAAGCTTCATGTCGAGAACTTAGCATCCATTTTGCATTCAATCAAGTAACCAAACCCAAAGACAACAATGCAACAAAAGATTGCATATTTAAGATTCTAACTTTCATCTCCATGTCCCAAGGATCAAACCTTGAAACAGAACCTAAGAAACAGGGATTTGATATTCAAGAAACACCAATAAAAATTCAAACTTCTATTTCTATATCTAGAGATCAAAGCTCGAACAGGAAACATGAACTCTTAATAAACGATTCAAACTTCTATTTCCATGTACCACGACCAAACCTCAAAAAAGAATCTAAGAAACAGGAATCTAATAATCAAGAAACAAAAAATAAAGATTCAGACTTTCCCAAGATCAAAAACCTCGAACATAACCGGAGAAACAGGGATTCGATCATCTAAGAAAATGGTTTGTACCTCGAAGCGGATATTCTTGTAGACGAGCTCTTCAACATTGCTACCTACAGTAGGATGAGTAGTGACAACTTCGCCCAAGTGAAGTTTGTAAAGCGTCGTCGTTTTACCAGCATTATCCAAACCAACAACAACTATCTTGTACTCTTTAGCAGGAAACATCATGAACCAAAACCTCGACATGAAAGCTCCCATCTTTATATCTCAAAACAAACCTAACCAAAGAGAAAACAAATACAAAAAAAAAAAACTATTGCATATTCATTCTTTTCGATCAATTCCAAGGAGAACTAGATTCGATTCGAGAAACCCAGATCAGATTTGAATATAACGATCCCAGATTGTCCCGAGTTTAGCTAATCTAGGAAAAAAATAAAAGGAAATTCAAATCGGGAATCTGCGATCAAACCTTGATCCAGCTAGAATCTGGCGGTGGGAGGCAAAATTTGGAGAAAAATTAAGCTAGAACCTTTGATTTCAATCGACTTCTTCTACTTAGCATATGGGGTGGTGAGAAGAAAAGTTGTATATGCGGGAAATAATGTCAAAACTGTAAATATGAACAAAATAAATTAATACATTACCGAACAAAATAAGTTAGCGAAAATTGCAAAACAAAACCCGATATATTTGACTTTTAAAAACTTACATAATTTTAGCTGTAAATTTAATAAAACCTCCCTAACCTATTTTATTAAAGTAAAGAAAATATGTAAACAGCTAAAATTATGTAGGTTTTTCGAGATTTTATTAAATTTCAGAGAGGTTTTATTTTGATAAAATAGGTTAAGGAGGTTTTTTTATTAAATTTCTTTTATCAGCGTAAATTGATTTCAGATATTTTCTATAAAAAATTCTATTACGTGAATTTTCTGTCAAATAAGCAAATCAGTAATCTTTTAAAAGCTTTTTTATACGATAGTATATTATTTTTTTATCAAAAAGAAAATCCGTAAATTTTTCACTAAAAAATAAAATAGTAATTTTTCAAAAATATTTTAATAATGATAATATATTTTTTCTCCAAAAGAGAATCCATGAATTTTTCATTAAAAAAGAATCAGTTAATTTTCTACAAAAATATTACATCAAAAACTGTGATTTAAAAATTTTCCATTAAAAATTAAAAATTTGCAACTTTCCTATTTAAAATATAAATCTATAAATTTTATGTCAAAAATGTAATTTTAAAACTATTCGTCAAAAACTGTTTGCTACAAAATTTTCATCAAAAATTGAATTTTTAAATTTTCTACCAAAATCTTACATGGGATTTGGAAACATTTCGTCAAAAATCCAATTTAGAATTTTTTGGCCAAAAACCTAAAATCCATTATTTTTGGCACAATGAGACATTTCATCATCCACATAATCGCCATGGTTTAGTTGACCCTCATACTAAAAAAATAACATTTCTCAGAACTCCCAAACTGATTAATAACGTAGCGACTTTCTGCTCCTACACGATTAAAGAACCTAGAAATAGTCCTATAACTTCTAGATTCTTTAATAAAGAAACACCATTTTCTGTCAAATGTTTAGAGAAACACACCAAAAGGAAAGTTTCTTGCGCATATCAAATAATGTCAAACAGAAAAAACATATAAAGTCCTCCCTTCTCCCCCCTCCCAAATTAACATATATTTTGACCCAAAACTCCCAAAACACACTTGAACACTTCTAATCAGTATTTAACCCAAAAAAAATAAGAAACTCTAAAACCAATAGCTTGTTTCTTCATATGTAATTTCACACAAGTAAAACAGTTTTACTCAACTGTGATTTAGAGTAACAATAACAAATTCTCATTTCCAACAAGAATTAGGACAAAGAAAAAGTGAGATATTGAACCTTTTTTACGAAGATAGCTTGTGCTTGCAGATTTAAGAGAAGGGAATACCGGAATCTTCCTTATAGGATGGTTTCTACTTGGTATTTGCAACATCATATTTTTTTTTTGAGATTGTAAACATGACCAATAAAATTAAAACAAATAACCATTTTAATGAAAGTACATGATCAAACTCACATACACGAAAACACATATATATTATTCCAGTGATGAGTACAGTTTCCAAACCACAAACACACATTTATGATTTAATAAACACTTTAAAAAGAAAAACAGCAACGCCTAGGGGGTGTTTTTGAATGTCTCACAAACCTCGACTGAATCATATAAAAAAAAACCTTGGCCACACAAACAAACCCAACTTTGAGAGTCAGAGAGCATATTGATTACTCGGAATTGACTGCGTAGAAGTAGATCTCATCGGTACGGGCGTTGGTCTGAAGCTTTCCTCCATGCATGAGGAGACCTTTCTTCCCATAGACGGTGGCAGTCGTGGAGGCGTTCCAACCGCGTGAGACCGGTTCATTCCCTCCTGCGAACCTCGTCCACAGCAACGTCTCAGTGTCCAACGCGAAACCCTCACGGGACAACGTCCCTGGACCTTCATGTGCTTCCGGGTCCCGCTCGATCTCGCCTCCATATATCAGTATATGTTTCCCCACGGCCGCATACGCGAAGCAGCTCCTCGCAGCAGGTTTCTGTCCTTTGGTCTCCACTTCGGTCCATTTTTCAGTAGCGGGGTCATAGTAGTGCACACAGTTGGACTCGTAGTCACAGGACCCGTACTGTTTCGGTGCGTTAGGATCACTCGCGGTCGCGAACCCGTAAACCACCCAGATCTTGCCTTGCACCACAACGAACCCGGCTCCTCCTCTTTTCTCGAACGTCTCTCCAGGGTCCGGTAGCTGAGCCCATTTCCCATCGGCAATGTTATACGACTCGATCGTCCTGAACCGAAACGGGGTTGCATTCAGCCCGCCTCCGCTCACGCCACCGAACACGTAGACGTGGTTTTCATCTGATGCCATCGCGTGGAAAACACGAGCATCGGGTCCTCCCTCTTGGTCCAGCTTCGTCAGGAGCTTCCACTCGTTTGTCACCGTGTCGTACGAGTAAAAGTCCTCGAACACCAACTGTTTATTGCGGCCACCGTATACGTAGAGCTTCGTTCCCACGGCGACCATGCGGGTGCCTAAGACTTTGGTCTTCGGGGCGTCTCCTTTGGCCGGAGCGATTGACCAAGTGTGAGTGTTGAAGTCAAAGACGTAAAGGTCTTTGTCGATGGGCTCGTATGGCGTAAACTCGCCGCTGATACAGTAGAGCTTGTCTCCGATCACGGCTATGGCGTGTGAGCATCTCGGTGATGGTCCCTGTCCTCCTTTCTGTTCCACCTGTTAACCATCATTGACCAAGATTAATCATAATTAACCATGATGGTGGTGATTCAAACACGGAAAGGCTATAAGTAAATGATATTTAATATTCTTAATTAATTAAGCAATTACCTTGATCCACTCGCCTTGGAAAGTCGGAGCCATAGCTGCAATATTCAACTCTCTTTTCTTTTTCTTTTTCTTGTTTATTTGTTTGTGTCTCCTCTCTTCTTTCGCTGCTCTCCTATATATAGGCTAAAAACTCGGCGTGTCAAGATATTTCAAAGTGTCTTTGTTTGACAACTTTGGTCAATCTAATACGAAACCAAATATAGACGACTGCGACCGTCATCACAATAACCAAATATAGACGACTGCGACTGTTATCACAACATTATCCCACATGTCCACCTAACTTTTTGACTCTTTCAAAATCTAATACAACAGTGTAAATGTAAATATTAAGCGTTAAGTAATACTAAAACTAAAGAAAAATAATATTAAAACGTAAACAAATTTGGAGAAAGCCCACAATACTATTACTATAATATGTTACTAGGTGGTTGATTCAGAATTTTAATAATTAAAATTAGCTGTAGCTTTATGTAAAATTCAATTATATATATACATGTAGAAAAATATTAATTAATTTCTTAAGATGATTTTCTTTTAGTTAGTATGTTTACTGATTTTTTTGGACTTTACTGGTATTAGTTGTAGTTTTATGTTTTTGCTGTAAAAATATAGCTGTAAATTTTTTTGCTGTAATTATAGATTTTATTTCTTTAAAACTTTGGCTATAAAATTGTGAAATTTGGAAATCATAAAATTATGTGTTTTAGAAAAAAATACTTTGTATAGCTAAAACAATAAACAAGAAAAAAAAATTATAAAGCATGATTGGTATGAATTAGAGCTGTAGACATAAATATTATTGTGCAGAGCATCTACAATAACAACCAATTCAAGAAAGCTTATCAAACTCTTGTTTTTACTAAATATTATGATGAAAATCTTAACAGGCATATTCTTTAAATAATTAGATAAGCTTATTCTAAACAATTTATTAGCTGTAGCTTTATGTTTTTGCTGTAAAAATATAGCTGTAAGTTTTTTTTGCTGTAGCTGTAGATTTTATTTTTTTAAAACTTTGGCTATAGAATTGCAAAATTTGGAAATCATAAAATTATGTGTTTTAGAAAAAAATATTTTGAAAAAACTTCTCAAAAAATCATTAGATACAAAGTATCGATACTCGGAAATTTAAAACGCAAAATAAAAATAATAAAACAGTTAAATAGATAATTATACTAGACAAAATTCTAAACCAAAATATCTGATGTTCTAGAGTTTTACAAACTGGAAAAGATCCAGAGATTTAAGCCAATAAGTAAAAAAAAACACGAAAGAAAATTACAGTTTAGAAAACATTAGAATGAGGAGTTAAGACGAAAAACAAGGATGCACGGTTGATGATCTAATCTTTAAAAGAATTGAATTGAATTTTCGAAATTGTTGATTATATTTCGGAAAATACTATTGCATGACACTACTCCAATAAAAGATGCATCTTTGACTTTAAATTTCATTTGTGCAAGCTCTTTCCTCATATCCTCTGTTTTGGTCTCCGTAAGCTCTTCTTGCATCTGGACAAACTTTTAATACGTTTACGTTTAGTTCATGTGGTCAGATCTGAAGAATGGATCTTTGGTTTGTGGTTAGATTTTTTAGCTTCTGTAAGTTCCATAGTTATAGTAAATCAAGTGATTACATATTTACATATTAGAGTTAATGTTATGTTAGACTACATCAAATTAACTTTATATGTATGTGTCTAGCAATCATCTTTATCCTTATTTTCCTTATAATGTACAATAGATTCAACTTTTAACATCTTGATTGGTAATATAGTAAAATCGTGGAATGACTGAAAAAATTAAGTAACATAATGATTTTTTATAAAATTGTGAAATATATTTTTGTGATGTGATTAGGACTCTAAGTGGTAACATAGTAAAACCGTGGAATGGTGGAAAAAATTAAGTTGCGAAATGATTTTTTTTGTAAAATTACAGAATACATTTTTGTTTCTGCAGAATGGCATAATTACGGAATATAAAGATTTAAAATTAATTTTTATTTATAACATATTTTATATATTATTAAAAATTAATATATTATTTATTATAAGAAAATGCAATAATTTTAATATAAATTTAGATATTTTTATTTTTATTATGATTTTTCTATTAATGTAAAATAAATAAAAATTTAAAAATATTGAAAATTTCAAACTATAGATAAAATCTGGTCATTATATAAATATATATAGTATAAATATATTTATTTAAATAATAAAATATAATTAATTATATAATTAAATGATATGAAATTTTAATTCCACAAATAATCTACCTAAAACACACTTTTCCACTTAATCAATTTTTTTTTGTATTTTTTATAAGTACTTCCGTGATTCTGCAGAATTCAAGATTTTGTGTTTTTACGCAAATTTTTCTAATTGGCAAAATTCTAGCAGAATCGCATTTTTCGCCATTTCATAAAGTTTACCTATCAAAATCTCTACTTTTTACATTTTAACATTACATATCATTTTTTTCTACTTAATAATTCAACACTCATTTAATTTTTTGAACTTTATAATGGTTTTATTTAAAATTCAACATTATATTCTACTATTTTTATTTTGTATTCTTATTTTTTTCTATTATGTGTCCAAATCAAATAAAATAAATTTCTAATTATCGAATATCAAAAATTATAAGTTTGATATAATAAATATAAAAGGATATATTAATGTACTATTCCATAAGATAATTGATTTCAAATAATTAAAATGGAAAATAAATATCAAAAATTTAAACAACTAAACTAATGATAATGTGTTATTGGTATTGTTTATCTTTCTCATTCTTTTTTAAGTTTCAACATATTAAAAAAATAAACACAATTAAATTCACATCATATTTAATACTCTATTCAACATTTTTATTATATCAATTCAACAGTTGAATTGAGTTTTTAACACCCCTATTATACATGTAGTTTTATATACATAGAGTTAATGTTAAGATTTTTTAATAGACTTTTTATGTTGTGAGCAGCTGATAATCCTGATTCCTGCCAATCAAATGTGATGCTAATTTTGAGACAAGTTCGAAACTGCTCATAACCATTTGATTTGGGAAAAGTTACAATGTTCATTTGGTTAATCTTCGCACATTTTTAACCAAGACATCGGTTAAAAAGTTCAAATTTAATTACCAAAAGAAAAGTACAAAAAAAAAAAAAATCTAATTGATCATTCGGGTAGGTACACAGACACCCCAAAAAAACCTACGTAAAACAATATAATTTCAATATTGACCCTTTCGAAAGTCCTATCATATCAAATCAGAGAATCCAACTCAACACTCTCACTTCGATATATCCGCCTTCTTCTCCCCTTCATCTCTCAGAGCCAACTGTACCGATCTCCCGGAGCTCCACCACTCCGGCGAAAACCATGTCTCAGTCTATCCAATTCTCCACTCCTTCACGCACTACTCACCTTCTCCACCTCCCTCAATCACGATTCCACCGTCCTCTCACTTCCTTTTCCTTCCGCCAATTCCCTCTAACCTCCTCCGTCAAGTACACCTCAATCAGAGCCTCCTCGTCTCCGTCTCCGTCTCCTTCACCGGATCTCGATTCCTCCTCCTCATCATCGCAGGTCCTTCACTCTCCTAACGGCACTGGCGCCGTGAGAGCAGAGGAGAGATCCGTCGTAGCTACGGCGGTTTCGACGGATACGGCTGGGATTGAAGTCGATACAGTGACGGAAGCTGAGCTCAAGGAGAATGGATTCAGGAGCACGAGGAGGACGAAGCTGATCTGCACGATCGGACCGGCGACGTGCGGGTTCGATCAATTGGAAGCGCTCGCCGTCGGAGGCATGAACGTCGCGAGACTCAACATGTGCCATGGCACGCGCGATTGGCACCGCGGTGTTATCCGCAGCGTCCGGAGGCTTAACGAGGAGAAAGGATTCGCGGTTGCGATCATGATGGACACTGAAGGTAGTGAGATTCACATGGGAGATCTTGGCGGCGAATCTTCGGCCAAAGCAGAGGTTTGTACTTCTCTTCTCGAATTCTCAATTCGAGCTTGATGATGCATGGATATTGGTCTGTATAATTAAGAACGTTTACAGGATGGTGAGATTTGGACATTCACTGTTAGAGCTTTTGATTCTTCTCGACCTGAAAGCACCATTAGTGTGAGCTACGATGGTTTCGCCGAAGGTAAGTGATGAATATCATAGTGATTTGAGTATGAAACACTGAAAATCAAGCTTGCTTGGAGTGAGATCTTTTTTGATTTGAAGTTTCGTTTGTGATACAGACGTAAGAGTTGGTGATGAGCTTCTGGTTGATGGTGGGATGGTGAGGTTTGAAGTGATTGAGAAGATTGGCCCTGATGTCAAGTGTCTATGTACCGATCCTGGATTGTTGCTTCCTCGAGCTAACTTGACTTTCTGGAGAGATGGTAGTCTTGTGCGTGAGCGTAATGCTATGCTTCCAACAATTTCTTCCAAGGTTTTGAAATTCTTAATCTTCCCTCTTTGAGTTTCTTGATTTCACCTTATTTGGAACCTAGAGGAGAAATGAAATTAAAGAAACGACAAAAATAGTCAAGTAGCTATATATCAACAGTAGCAACTCTTTCTCTTGCATACTAGAGTCCATGTGAATCTAAAGATTGCTGATTATATTATATGTACACAAGTTCATCCCCTGAGGAAAAACAGACGCATCATTTTCTCACTGATGGTTCTTGACTTTTCAGGACTGGTTGGATATTGATTTTGGAATTGCTGAAGGTGTGGATTTCATTGCGGTATCGTTTGTCAAGTCTGCTGAAGTAATCAATCATCTGAAAAGTTATCTCGCTGCTCGTGCCCGTGGAGGGTAAGTGTATAATTTCACTATGTTAATACTGTAATCTACTTTCAAGGTCTGGCTATATAAGAATTGGGTTTTGCCTTTTGCATCCACCATGCAGGGAGATAGGAGTGATTGCAAAGATCGAGAGTATCGATTCACTGACAAACCTGGAAGAAATCATCCTAGCATCAGATGGAGCAATGGTTGCAAGAGGAGACCTGGGAGCTCAGATACCTCTTGAGCAAGTTCCTGCAGCTCAACAGAGAATCGTAAAAGTCTGCAGGTCGCTGAACAAACCCGTCATCGTCGCTTCGCAGCTACTCGAGTCCATGATCGAGTACCCAACTCCGACGAGAGCAGAGGTAGCCGACGTTTCCGAAGCAGTAAGGCAAAGATCAGACGCGTTGATGCTCTCTGGAGAATCAGCCATGGGTCAGTTCCCGGACAAGGCTCTCACGGTTCTTAGAAGTGTCAGTCTAAGGATCGAAAGATGGTGGAGGGAAGAGAAACGCTACGAGTCTACTCCACTTCAAGCCATTGGATCTACTTTCTCAGACAAAATCTCTGAAGAGATTTGTAACTCTGCTGCTAAAATGGGTATTAACAAAAATTCAGCTTCTTTTGTTTCCTCAAAAACCAAATCTTTCGTTTTTTTTTCTCATTTTTATCAAATACAAAAACTTGCAGCTAACAATCTCGGAGTGGACGCTGTTTTCGTCTACACAAAGAACGGACACATGGCGTCCTTAGTCTCACGGTGTCGTCCTGATTGTCCGATCTTTGCTTTCACGACTACAACCTCGGTGAGAAGAAGGTTAAACCTACAATGGGGTCTTATACCTTTCCGTCTAAGCTTCTCAGAGGACATGGAAAGCAACTTGAACAAAACATTCTCGCTACTGAAATCAAGAGGTATGATCAAATCTGGTGACCTCGTGATCGCGGTTTCGGACATGTTGCAATCGATCCAGGTAATGAACGTTCCGTAGATTCACTCTTGTCTTTACAATTTCGCAATTAAGACTTTTTTTTGTTTCCTACTTTGTTTGCTGTTTAGACTTTACATTAGATTTTCAAAGGCATCGTTTTGGTTTGGTCTGTCGTATAACTGTTAACAGTGGACGGTGCCATGAGTGTGTAAGCTTTGTTTGTTGTGTACTGTTTTGTTTTTGGCTTTTAATAATATCAGTAATCTATTCCATAAATTCGATTTAAACTCATAATTATCGTGCAAATTTGTTGCTTCATTGTTTAAACTTAATGCTTAAAAAATCCGAAATCCAATCCAAAAAAATATATTCTACGTGATATTTCCTTTTTGTTCCTGTCTAGTTTCCTTAAATTTGAAAGATAGTCACACAGATCCAAATTTCATGGAAAGTTCTAACGATAAAAGGAAAGGCTATTTGGATATATGTAGTCCAAATTGGATTAAGAGTTGTAATAAACGTAATTCATGTAGAGTTAGGATTTGAGAGACCCTAATATTATAAATAAAGTAGTGTAAACCCTCTCTTCTTCATCAGAACTAAAAGCTGTCTATGGTAAGTAGAGAGATGAAATCAACAAGGATGAGAAATTGCAAGAGACCTCGCGTGAATCATGAGAGAGAGTTTTATCAAACTCCGACGAATTGTTGGCCGGAGGAGAAGATTCAACGAGTTTGGGAGTTCGTGAAGAAACTGAAAACGACGTCGGATGGTCAGAGAATCTTCCACCAGTGTGTCGTTGCGATGAAGTCTTATCTATCTGGTTCTTTAACCTACATGGACGCCAAACAAAGAGTCTTCTCCATCCTCCGTAACGGAGAAAGTTTGCTCGAGGAGTTTCATCAGCTTTTGTCGGATTTAGCTTCTCTTGAAAGTAACTCAACCAAAGAGAACGCGAAATCAGACGTGGTACGCACGGTTGAGTTTTTGAACAAAGTCGAAGCTTTAGGCGAAGGTGTGTACAAAGCGTTTATCGGTGCGTTAGCGTTTCCCGGTGATATCGACGCTCTGGTTGAACAACTCGAAGATATTTTAGGCGATGACGCGTCTCTGAAAGAGGAGTTTAAAACGTTCTTAATCGATTCCCGTTTACTCAAAAAACCGAAACGCGATTCTGAGGCGGCGGCTACACCGGTTACAGAGGATGATGATTGGTCCAGGGACAAGATTACCGAAGGTTGCAGACATGTGACGCCATCGTATTGGATTAGGCCTGATGCTGAAGAGGGATCTTCCTCTGACGAGGTTTTAAACGGGAGATACTTTTCGGTTGGTCAGTACGATCCGGAGAAAGTAACCAAGAAGAAGATCACACGGCCTAGGAGCCATGTGGAAATTAATAAGGAAGATGATAAATTGCTCGAGGAGGACCGACTCTTGGAAACCCTGACAAAGGTTATTAAGTTTGGGAAGAATGACTTGTGTAACAAGGAAACCTGTGAGATGCCGCCGGTAGGGTTTGAGGAATTCATACAGTGGTTTTCTAAAGGTAGGAAGGTGCCAGAAATGTTAAAGACGGATCCTAGACGTGGGTTACAAGATATTTTACCTAGGTTGGAGAGTATGGAGAAGAAGATGAGAAATGCGAAAGATAGTAAGATGCAAAGTACCTATAATCGTGTGAATTCGACCAAGAGGATAAACGTGAACAAGTAAAGAGTGTTTGTTTTGTTTTTCTTTTGTTTTTTTTGTAGCTACAATATAAAAATCTCAGTTTGTGTTTTACTCAAGTCTCCCAAAATTGTAATTGATTTTAGTCTAACTAAAAACTCAGAATTCTCTTAGGCCTATTCTATCATAATTGATGTAGATTTTTCTTTTGTTATACATTATTAGTTTCCAACTTTCCATCAATCAAAGTTAAATATCAGCCCATGATTTTTTATTTTATTTTATTTTATTTATAACTCTTTTATGTTAGAGAATACAATAGTTTTATTATGGGTTAATTTGTAAAATAACCACATTAAACTGTAAAATAAATAATATAACTATATTAATTTCATAATTAATTCAATAACCAAGAACCCTAAAATTTGTCTATTTTATCCTTCAAATAAAACTTATTAATACACTATTATAGTATACTATATCGATTTATATTACTATATTATACTATATATAAAATGTTTATTTTTTATAAATTGTATAGGAGAGAGGACAAAATATAAAGTGACGAGGAAGGGTAGAGGAGAAGACGAGAGGGGAAAAGAAGGAGGGGAGAGGAAAGAACGGGAAGAGAAAGAAATAAAAAAGAGGGAAAAAAAAATAGGAGGGAAAGAGAAAAATATGAGAGGGATAGTTTTGTATATATTGTAAAATGTATATAAAATACTATAGCCATTAATTTTTATGGTTATTTTATCTATTTTTCAGTTTGATATGGTCATATGATTTAATTTTTTTTTTATTATTGTAAATGGTTTTTTTTTTTCATGAAATCAGAAATTTGTCAATTACAACAAAAAAATAAAGGCCTCATTCTACTAGTATCTCAGTTCGGGCCCAAACCCGTTTACATATTAATATTTTGGCCTCTTCTTTTATATTATTTTAGCACACACAGTTGAGATATATAATGGATCCTATTTTTCGATTTTATACAGTTTGCGTATCTTTGAGCTGTGACTTGTGAGAACCTAACACACGATAGGGCAATATGCAACATGAAAGGAATAGAGAAGACTATAAGAATCAAACAAATAAGTTATAAATACAAAAAAAAAAAATTGACATAAGAAAAAAAGAAAATATCCAAAAGTGATATATCATCTTCTATATAATGAATACACAAAAAAAAACAAGTCGTAATTTCTTTTAGGGACTGTTATTGGTTTGTATATTTGTAAAGAGTTTTGATAACATTTAAAACTAAAGACTTTAATGAACTTTAAAAGAGTTTGGAATTTATAAAAAAGTTTTGTAGATTATTATAAAATTTTTAACTAGAAGATAATTAACAACTTTTGTAGAGTTTATCTTTAAGTATTGCAAAATATTTATTTGTTTATATTTGTTATTATCTATTATATTCTTTCTTTTTTTACTTTTTATCTTCTATAAATTATCTCAAAATTTAAGTTTGTTCATCATCGTTTCAAAACTTAAGGTACACATACTAAACTATCTATTTTTTTCTTCCAAATTATGTTTATACATTTATATATTATCTGTTTGTTTGACTGTGTGGTTTGGTTTGGTTTTTTATTTCTTACGTTACTTTTTATAAAAAAAATTCTTATTGATTAAATGATGATTTACACTTGTATAATTAGCTATGGCAGATTCACGAAAAAATAAAGAAAAAGGTCAGTATAATCAATGGGGACCTGAGGAAACAAAATTATTGATCGATCTACTTGTAGATGCAATTCACAGAAACTGGCGTGATAGTAATGGTTTAATAACCAAACTCACGGTGGAGCAAAATTTTTTACCTGTACTCAATGAAAAACTTGGATGTCAGAAAGAATACAAGCACTATCTAAGTAGAATAAAGTATTTGAGAACCATATACCAAAACTATGTGGATCTTCAACGCTTCAATTCAAGATTTGGATGGGATCCTGAAACGAAAAAGTTTACTGCTCCAGATGAAGTGTGGGATTAATATTTAAAGGTATGTATTTGATTACAAAAATTTGAACATCATTCCATAAATTTTCAATATATCTTTTAAGTAAAACATTTTTTTTTGTTGATCTACAGAAACATCCTTCTCATAAACATATGCGGTATGATTCGGTTGAACAATTTGAGGATTTGCAACTCATCTTTGGATGTGGTGTAGCAACTGGTGGTTTTGCTATTGGACTGAGTGATACTACTGATGCTCGTACCTTTAGGGTTGGAGAGAGTAATCAAGTGAAAGAAAACATAAACCTTCATCAGAGCACCGATGAAGTTTTTGAATTATCATCTCAACAGCAATCAACCGAATGTGATATGCCATCTTTTCCAGTTCCAGGTTTCAAAGGTCGTGCTGAAAAACTTCATCCGAGAAAGAGGTCTAAAAGGGAAGCTACTAATGATGTAGATAAGCTGAAAAATGATCAGGACGATGCTACGATCATAGTTAGCAACAAGATCTTTAGTGTCATACAACAGAGAGAAGAAAGACAACAAAGAGAAGCTGAAAAAAGAGAAGAAAAGTTAAAACGAGAAGCTGAAGAAAAAGAAGCTGAGAGAAAGAAAGACAATATATGGGAAGCCATGAAAGAGATTCCTAATTTAGATAATCATACCCGCTACAAAGCTATTACCTTGATTCATTCACTAGGAATGAAAAATGTCTTCAAAGACATGACAATAGAAGAACGTTTCGGTTAGATCCAAAGCAATGTTGGCTCTACATGATTATGTTGATGGTTTTAAGTTTTTAGTTTCTGTTTTTTTTTTCTTTTTGGTTTTGATGTCTTCGAATGTTTCATGTTTCTTTAGTTTTAGTTTGTGTTTCGGGAGACTATCTTTTCTTTTGAGAAATTTTAATGGATTTTTTTTTCATGCTTTATTCAAGCTTGCTCTTTTTTTTTCATGCATACTTCAATTGTGACATATTACGTTTCTTCTATTTTCTTTTTTAGTACATATTTATGAGTATATGAATACTTTCATTTCTATTATTTAACCCATTGTATTCTCACTGCAGGTACTATTTTTTCCTTATCATGGAGCAGTGTAATGTGGGAGATGAAGAACTTTATCTTGAGGATGACGAAGCAGAAATGGATATTATGTTATTTGTATTGGAAAATACAACCAGAACTTATGTCATGAAGAACAAACATATTGAGCGTCCCCTTCGTCAGCCTATCACAAGAACTGGTTACATTTACATCCAAAAAGCTCTTAAGGAAGATCCAGAACACTTTCGAAAAGTGTACCGTATGTATCCAACCGTGTTTGTGAAGTTGTGTGAACTTCTCAAACAGCAAACATCTCTAACTGATACTCGGCATATGTGTCTTGAAGAAATGGTGGCTACATTTTTGCTCACTATTGGTCAAAATTCAAGATACTCTTACACAATGGACACATTTAAGAGATCAAAATTTGCTGCAAGTACAAATTTTCACAAGGTTTTAAGGGCGTTAAACTCTATTGCACCAAGTTTGATGGCTAAACCTGGACTCACAGTACCTGCAAAAATAAGAGAAAGCACACGATATTATCCTTATTTCAAGGTAGTGTATCTTCAAATTGTATTACTTTAAATATGGTACAAGATAGCTAATTATTCTCTTTTTAGGATTGTGTTGGCGCAATTGACGGCACACACATTAATGCAATTGTACCTTCTTCTGAGGCATCTAGCTACCGTAATAGGAAGGGACAAATATCACAAAATGTTTTGGCTGCTTGTAACTTTGATCTCGAATTTATATACGTTCTTAGTGGATGGGAAGGTACAGCTCACGATTCAAAAGTATTAAGTGATGCTCTAACTCGGAGTACTAACAAACTACCAGTTCCGGAAGGTATATATACGGTTATGCATTTCCTATAATTTTTTTTTGTTGTTCTTTTTTAAATCAAACTACTGATATCTTTGTATCATGTATGATTTTCAGGAAAATTCTATCTAGTTGACTGTGGATTCGTAAATCGTCGTAACTTTTTAGCTCCGTTTAGAGGTACAAATTATCACCTGCAAGACTTTAAAGGACAGGGTCGTGATCCTACTAACCAAAATGAGTTGTTCAACTTGCGTCATGCATCTTTGAGAAATGCGGTGGAGCGAATATTTGGTATCTTCAAATCCCGTTTTCTGATTTTTAAATCTGCACCACCATTTCCTTTCAAAGTACAAGCGGAGCTTGTATTAGCTTGTGCTGGATTACATAACTTTCTTCGTAAACATTGTCGATCTGATGAGTTTCCTCCTGAAACAAGCAATGAGGATAGTCAAGAAAGAAATTCAGAAGAAAATGGAAATGCAGGAGCTTTCTATGAAGAAAATGGAGATGTAGGAACTCTCCAATCTCAGCAAAGAGAATATGCTAATAAATGGAGAGACTCAATAGCTGCTAATATATGGGCAGAAGCTACACAAACAGGAAGTCTACGATGAAGATTATGAGATTTGTTTTTACGATTTATGAAACAGTAATTTTGTTTGATCATCGTTTATTTGTTGATTGTTTTTCTGCATTGAACATCTAATTTTATAAGATAAATTCTGAAGATAATTGCTTTTATCGTAAGACATGTGTTATAATTCAGAGATTGTGAAGTTTGTGTTCATATTAGGTTACGTGATGTTTGTACTCATTCTCTTTTTTTTTTTTTTGTACGCAGACAAACTTTGAGAATATTTGATCAACATACAATACTTTGTTAAGTAAATTTTATAAAGAAAAATATGTGAAGTCAATAAACTAATAACACCAGATTTTAAAATAATGACAAAACAAGAGTATTTCAAGTTTTTTGAATAACACAAAACTTTTATTAACTTTATAAAATCATGAATCCAATAACATTAAACTTTTAAAGATTTTAAACTACTTATTACAAATTCATAAACTAATAACACCAGACTTTTAAATAGTTTTAAAAAGTCTTAATTGAATAACACCATAATCTTCTTAAAATCTAAATCCTTATAACTCTTTCTAAATATCAAAACCAATAATACCCACTTATAATTGTAAGTACTCTCTCCATCTTATGAATCTGAAAGTATATAGTTTATACAAGTTTTATGGCTTTGTAACATATGGACCTGCAGTATAAGATGCTGCTCTGCCTGCTTTGGATGCTGCATCTTAGTTTCTTTGTTTCTCCTAACCTTAATTGTTTTGTTACGCAGGGACGAGTATTATTGTCTTTATGAAGTGTTGTAAACGTTTTTTGCTACTTGCTATCTTATAAAGTAAGATCTTCTTATATGAGATTGCGAAACTGAAGTAATTAATCATGATCAGTCTTCGAGTGATTATTGAATTGGTCAGTTTTTTCTCTGAATTAGTCTACTCGATGGAATTAACAGTATCGAATAAAAAACTTAGCTGAGTTTTTTTTATCCACTAGAGAGACTTGGGAAACATATATTTTTAAGAGAAATTAATATATTTTTTTTATCCTCTGGATTTGATCATATTTGTTTTGCATCACTTAAATCGATGGTCCCATCTCTATTAAAATTTGAGTAGGTGGGGCCTCGTCAAAGTTTTAAATGTAAAGACTCAACAATTTTCAGATTAATCATGAAACAGTTCAATAATTCAATTATTATATATAGTCAGAATAGGGACCTTAAATAATTAGTTAAATTTTTTTAGGGGTCCAGATTATAAAGATATATACAAACAAATAACCAATGTAATAGTAGAGACAACAACACCAAGAATAGCAACAATAAACTAAACATATCTTATATCCATCTTATTGGCTGTGATTCAACCACTAAATTATGAACATCGTACATACACAATGTACATTATTATATAAGCAGGTACATTATACCCACTTTTATGATAATAAATATATATTATTGGATCGAAACTGTTACATTACATGAGAAAAGTCTGCCTCTGGTTCAACTATTTGTAGGTAATCTTCTCTAATACAGCTAATCAAAAGATCAAATCTCAAATAAAAATATACTTACATTACCATTTATATATACGTTGCTTAGTTTTGTCTGCACAAATCTGAATTACCAGAAAAATAGGAATATGCCCAAAGGAAACAGCAACAAAACTCCAAAAACAAAAAGAAGCAAAAAACAGGTAGGGTAATGATGATGCAAAGCAGTATATATATGTGTGTATATATGATAACTATCATATCAAATATATCATACATTTCATATGCTACACATAAACATATATGTGATTTGACCCAAAAAAATAATATATATGTGATATATATATATATATATGTAAGTAAGTATGGACAAGACCTTCATTATCAAAAGCCTTTATGTCTTCTTCAGTCCTTTTCTGATTTGCTAAATTTAATATTCAGATCTGATCACTGATCTCTATAACCCTAAACTCAATTTTAGCTTATCCATATGTGCAAGCAATCGTACATATAAATAAGGGATATATCTCTTACTTTAGTATTTTATTATTTTTTCGAGGGTCCACAAGTTAATTTTCTGTTTATTAATTCGGTTTCGCATTATATCCGGATTCAGAATAAAAGTAAGATATGTGGTGATCGAACGGACTCCAACGAAACCATCTTTGATCATATGTGTAGATAGTACTAACATTTACTCTACGTGATGTAAATTCCTTAAATTTCAAAGCATCTTCAAGAATGATTATGCAACAAACTTACTGTAAATATGCCTATATAGGTCTACATGTTGGACAAAAAGATGTACCTACCGATCTACAAGTATGTCCACATTTTTTTTGTCAAACATGTACGTGTATGTATTTATATGAAATGAGACAATACGCAGGGGCGGATACAGAAAATAATTATATATGGAGTACAACATTTATAAATATTTAATATAATTAAATTAATTAAAATATATTATAAATATTAAAATTTATAACATAAATTATTATAATTTTTGTTAATTTTTGAAAATATATAAAACTAAATAAATAAAAAAATTTGGAAAAAGAAACAATAAAGAACATGGAAAAAGATTGAATTTAACCTTATATGAAGAATAATTAAGTTACAATGAAAATTATAACATAAATTATTATAGTTTTTATTAATTTTTAAAAATTTATAAAACTAAATTAATAAATAAAATTAGAAAATAAAGAACATGAAAAAAGATTAAATTTAAATTTATATAAAAAACATTTTAGCTACAAAATCAACTAAGTTATTAAACTATTAGTGTTACATATATATATTATTTATAGATTTAGTATGAGACACATGCCTCACCCATCTATAACATAGATCTGCCCCTGACAATACGTATACATACATTATATCAAATCAGAATAAGGATACAGAAATTAACGTTTGTAAATGAATATAAAAACCATAAACTAAGATAAGGGCAGATTTAAACTTATGGAAAATTAAAATGAAGTAGGCCAACTAATGGGGTCAAATTTTAAGATGATGACGTTTCCCTTTTTTTTTTTTTCTACTGTAACAAACTTATTAATTCCTCCGTTTGGCTTTTTCTTTCGTTTATATATATAGTCCCCGAAAATTTCGCATTTATTTACTGGCACCAAAAAAGATGTACGTAACATTCTTAATCTTACCAAGACTTCCGAAGAGTTATACTCCTATTAAATATCGTCACGTTATAATTTAAGATTTATAATACCTCATTTTGCTATGAAATGAAAGGAATAAAAAAGTTTGATGAGTAGACTGGATTCAATGTATAAATACTACCCACTATATGAAAACTTTCATTGATATATATATATATATATATATGTGTGTCAATATGTTCATGTTTCGTAGTTAAATTTAAAATATCTGAATAAACTCTTGATCTATATTCCCTACAATATAATTGTATCCATGGAGCTTTTAACAGATCATCATTATAACATATTTTCTCGTCTTTTCAATGAACATTCAATCCTACAATAAACTGTGAGATACCTAGAAATCACCTAAACAACACAACAAATAATGTTACATTTAGCTAGTATTAGATCAAATACCAATGTATAATAAATTAATTTATCATTAAAAAACGATGTTTTGAGGATGAGCAAATAGAACGAGTGTGCTTCTGCATTGAAGTATTTGTTAGGTTTGAACAAAACCACTAAAACCCAATCCACCCAAACGAAAAAGAGTCATACCTGAACTTATACCTAAACCACCTAATTAGAAAAAAGTTCGCCAAACTTAGAAAAAGTTATCGAGCTTCGTTATTTCGGCTTTCAAAACAATTGTAGATACGAAAGTATCTTTAGTCCAGTGGTAGATTAGGTCAAGAGATAATTTTCCTCCGTCACGTATGAAAGAGATTTAAAGAGGTTGACAATTATGAAATTTAGTAAAGTCAAGGTCAGCCCTAAACTTTTGAAGCCCATACAAAAAAAACTATAAATTATTTTATTTATTAAAACAGATAAATAAATATTAAATGCTAATTCGGATGATACTGGATCAACTAATTCACTTTTTTGCATAACACAAAAATTAAATATCAAATGTTATCCATCTGTATAATCATTATATTTATATATCAAAAAAAATTAAACATCAGTTGAATTTATTTCAATGATTTAAACGATAATTTATTTAAAATTAAAATTCTATCAATTTAATATTAAAATTGGGAAAAAAATTGCACAAGGAAAAGATAACAACTACTGTATATATACCTCTTTTACCAAATTATATATGTGCTTTTTTAAAAGAACCTCTTCAAAATCGGAAACATCATACAATTAGCTCAGAAAAATATGTTTGAAATCTGTTATGTCTAAAGTCTAGTGGAAAGAGTGAGAATACATTTCATAAAACACAATTGATCTAAGAGGATAAAATTATGCTGGAGACTCCTAATAGTAAACAAAATAAAGAATCTACATGTATAAAAACACTAGGAGTTTGGCCCGCACGTATGTACAGGTATAAACAGTTTTAAAAATTTAATTATATAAATATCTAAATTATTATAAATATTTTAATTTTTGTAATGTATAAAAAATTAGGTAGGGTGATTAAATTATAGGGCTTAATAGCAAAATATGGTATAATTTTAACTAAACATTTCATTATAACAAAAAGCCCATTTTATTATGTTAAATGGTCAAATGGGTCAGACCCGTGGATAGCTGGTTGAGCGGGTTACCTGCTGTGGATTTGCGGGTCAGGCGTACATAGCTGCAAATTTCATCATTTTTTCGTCTTCAATTAATCTTCCTCAATTTATCCAATTATTTAGCCTTTAAATTCTCGAAGACTTCTTTGTATAAAACAAATATTTGAACTAAAATAAATTAAACACAGAAAATTATTTGAACTTAAATATATTTCAACTTCTCTTTGTATATTTGTTCAGCTTATGTTTCATGTGGACAACAAAAATGGGCTCTTTAGTTAAACATTGTTAGATTAATGTTACTTTGGATTATATAGTCGGTGCATGTGATGAAGACAATT